ACGAGATCATTGAGCAAGAGCTGAGCCGTTTTGGCAAAGCTCTTGGAGACACAAACATACGAGAGATCATGTGATGATGAACCCGAGGATTGTTGGCGCATAGAGGGTTGAGGCTGTAAATGTGTGACTGTCGCGGTCGGTGGGGATGGTAACTGTGTTGGGAGTGAAGGGGGAGGGGTGGGAGAATCGCGAACTAGTGAACGCTTGCGTTTATTCGTATTGGCAGCTGGCTGAATCAGGTCAGTCTTAGGGGGTGCTGCAGTGGTTCGAGGTCTTCCGCGACGATTGCTGGTTCTTTGCGTCGGCTGTTCTGTATCGGACGGTATCGGTACAGGAGTACTGGGAGGCTCAGCCTTGATCTTGTGAGCCTGGCCACCCTTCTTGCGCTTGTCTGTCGGAGTGTCTGACGTGAACGAAGCAAGTGACTGCGATCGTGACGCGGCAAAGGCACTAGGTGTGGCACTTGCTGCCTGTCGGCCTCTAGTCGGTGGTGCAGCTTCTGGCACGGATAAGGTGCTTTCTTCGACCTTTTGGTCCATCTTGCCCGGAGATTTTGTCACCTTTCCTGCTCGAGTCGGCGATTCCGTGTCCGTGAGAGGGCTGACCTCCCGCTCAGGTCGAGTCGGACTTGGTGGCCGGATACTCATAGGAGCTTGAGATCGCTTCTTCCACGGCGTTGACGATCTTCCTCGGTGTAATGCTTGACGCGAGTCGCTTCTAAGTACCGGTGTCACATTTGCGGAACCAGGATATCCATAATATGGCTGGCCAGGCTGTGGTGATGGCCATATTTGTGGATGTGAAGGCTGTCCCTGATAGTGAACAGGGGCGCTTTGAGGGTACGGCACGTATGTCGGATGATGTGGAGTTTGATATGATATAGTAGGACGCCCAGCAGGAGATTGCATGTAATACGGCGAATTAGGATACGGTGGAGGTTGAGGGTACTGAGGAGGCATATGGTGAGGCCAAGGAGGCTGCTGTGGATATCCAGCATATCCTGGATATGGCTGCTGAGGCTGCATTGGGATAGGCGAGCCTCGTCCCTGGCCAGATGCTGAATTTCCGCGCTTTTGAGGGGGAAACTCTGGGGGTGGAGGCATGTGAGGCGATCCAACATATTGTGGTAATACTGGTACAGGTTGACCGTGAGGGCCTGGCTGAAAATGCTGGGGATTGATAGCGCCATAGTTTGGTCGCTGGGGAGAAGGAACTGGAAGAGTACGGTGAAACGCTCCCGGCGACTGATGCGGAGGATGTGCTGGTGCTTGTTGTGATGGTCTTATCGGAGTAGCTTCTGCTGATCCTTTTGGAACAAGGGTAGGAGTAGTGGGAGCAGGAGAGTGTGACGGTGCGAGAGGTTGGTGCAGGCTGCTGCGGACGGATGCTGGCGACACCTCTGCATCTGCTGCTGGTGCTGGAGTTGCGCCCACAGGTGGAGTGATCTGCTCTTTTCGATTTACCTCTATGCCAGCGGGCAGCGTTGCATTTGTGGTATCAGTGCTGGTTTCGACTGCTGGAGGCTTCGAGGCTACCTCTGTGATTGTCTGAGGCTTTTCAATTTGCGGCGTTTTCACTCGTTCAGTATCAGCTTGCTGCCTCTCGTTCTCCTCTTCAGCCTTTTCGAGTTCCGAGATTTCAGCTTGCAGCCTAAGATAGTCATCCTCTTCCTGTCGTATTTCTTTTATGGCCTGTTCCCTGAAGCGAGCATAGAGTTTGTCTACTAGGGCTTGCAATATTCTCTGTTCATCGCCGTCACTTCCAGCCGCAGCTGGGGGTGGAGTGGGCGAGGTGGACAACTTCCGCTTTCGCGGGTTCGTACCATATTTCGCATTGTCGCCATTCACCATAGGAGGAGTCTGTATTTTTCTCTCTTCGACCAGGAGCTCATGGTATAACCCTTGCAGTGCCGCGGCAGTCAAACGAGTCTGATCGTACGACTCGCTCTCGCGAATGAGCTGGTTGGCATTCAAGGCGGTCGCAATACCCTCAAAGGCAGCGGTATCGGAGCCATGATGGACGACAGATTGGCAGAAAGCGAGGGTCTCGTAAGGTGTATAGGCTTTTAGTGAAGGCATCCCATCGTCGCGGTGGTTGAAGGAACAAATCGCTCTACCTAGAGATGCGACCAAGCGTGCTTCTTTGAGAAAGTCAAAACCACGAGCCCTAAGGGGGGCGCAAGGGCCCAGGAACGCGTCAAGGGGCGATCTTGGAAGTGAGAGGCACAAGGGGCGTGGTGGTGGAGATGGAATAAAGAGAAATGCGGTGACACGAAATGAAACTGCTCAGTGCTTTAACGGTGAAATTTGCAAAATTGTTTGATGCGACAAACACGCTACACACTGTTTGGTGCGGGAAAAGGTGCAAGACATGAGGGAGCGGGAAGCAGGTCATCCAACTGGTGCGAGCCTAACCGAACGTGCTTGGTCTTCTCGGTGCCCAGCTGCGCCAGCAGAGGCCAGTTGCTCCCAGAGTCCCAACGAATACCAGTGGTTTCAAGGCGCAGGCGGTCAAATTACTAGGGCTGAGTGCCGGGGATCGGCATACCCCAATCATCTTGGAGACGCCTAACACTTCTAGTCCCTGCGCCCTAAACTCTCCCGGGGGTGGCCTGCTGTGCCTGCTCCTCAGGGACCGTCTTGACCAGTGAACCCCTTTTTGCTAGGATGCTGGGCGCGACAATCTCGTCAAGGATGCGGTCTGCCTCAGATGGTAGACCAGCACCTAGGCAATTACGACCTCTATCTCTATCTATTATTCCTCCCTCGCACCTGGGCAGACGGCATGAACCAGTCTGCCTAAGGTCATCGCTTCCTCCAAGGTTTCGTTCACTTGACTTCAATCAAGTGACTCAATTCGTCGTTGATCAGATCAGCTGCCTGCACGACTTATACTCAACTACAAATATATCGATATCTCGACAATTTCGTTTCGCTGTTTGATCCTTCATTGTCCTCCTCCCAGCCTTTTCACACGATAGCACACAGACACACCTATACAATGGACGCATCGAACGAAGTGAATCCCGACGCGGGCTGGCAACCAAATGGGCGCCCCCAGTCGTAAGCATCCGCCCGCAAGAAGCCGTCCAGGCATACAGTCCCTCCAAAAGGTTTCCCAGCTAACTCGACTCCTCTCCTGTCCAGAACAATTGCCCTTGACTTCTCTGCTACACTGGACGACCTTTTCAAGCTCAACGGTATTGGCGCACTGGAGGAAGCTGTGGTTCAGAAGTATGCCGCATCCCGATCCACCCCTGCCCCCTATGCCAGTCGAACACGGCTAACCGCAATACCTCGGATTACAGACAAGACACTGTCCTTTCGCAGAGATATGAACTCGAGACGCTAGAAACAAAACTGCGTGAAGCAGATGAAAAGCTGAAACGACTTGAAGCAAAGCACAGACGACAGCAGAGCACAGTCATCACCAAACGGAAACCCGTGTCTGCCAATGCTTTCGGCCTCGCGGATAACGAAACAGAGGAAGACAGCTCCGGCGACAGTGACGGCCAGCAAGGCCGATCTCCTTCGTCGGCGAGGGCAGATGGCCCCGGATACAACAACTCGCGAACATGAATGCCGGTTCCTGCTTACTGACTCATGCTAATCCCCAATTTGCAACATGGATGATGGATGGGATCGTACCTTGTCTGGCTATGGGATGGCACACATAACCCCTTTGGTGTTATGACGCATTGGGTAGAAATCAGGTTGTTTTGGCGTTTGGGATACCCGGCTTCTCTCGGTCTGGAGAAATCGAAGAGCCTACACTCGTTCGGGACATCTTTAGAGAGTACTTGATTGCTCTAATCCTAATGACACAGCGTCGAGCTTTGCTTGTCGCGCTCTGCTCTTTGGCAATATGATCTTAGTCATGCCGTGAAATGTGTAGCTGTCTCTGATATTTCGCACGATGTGGTCGGCCTTGCTTCTTTGCATGCTTGGATGATGCTCAACTCACTCACTCACTCCGCCTTGACCGCCACCGAGCAGCACTACGTAGCTGCTTTGAGATTGGCTCAATGTAGCTGCAGGCTTTGCGTTCAGACTTCCCTCGAAGCTGGGAAGCATATCAGGCCCACTCGGATCACAGTTTGTAGAGAGAGAGAGATGAAAGATAGAAGGAGGAAAATATGGAGAAAAATGCATATAGGTGAGTATTAGTGATAATAATGATAGAAGCTGATTCGCCGGCATAAAGCGAACCCGAACCCGAACCCGAGCGAGCATCAGTATCAGCATCAGTTTCAACCGTTAGAATCAGATGTTACGTGCCCCGAGATACGAGCCTGCATGCAATATGCAAGGCCCCTTCCTCCCCCACAGCGATAGACGACAATTCATTCATTCATTTCTCAGATAAAGACACAAGCTACGGCTAGGTATGTCCCTACCTCCCTGGTACCTGGGTACATACATATGTACGCCGTACTGGTGGTACGTGTGACGACTACATTCTCACATCCTCATTGGCACTCATTGGCACATCAGTAGGTCTATGACCGAACTGCAACCCGGCATCAGGCCCCACACTTGGGTCTTCGGACAGTTGGCTGAATCAGATCAAATCAGACCAAATCAGGTCATATTTATTAATTAAGTATACACGTGTTATACGCGTCAACCAGATATAACCCTGGTCGATTAGATGGAACAAGGGGCAAGAGAAGTGCTTTTCCTTCAGGTACGTCCTCAGAGTTTATTCGTCCAGAAGCTTCGCTGTTCGGCCTTATTTCCTACTCGTAACCGACACAGCGGGGGCCTGAGAGCTGCAAGGTAGACTATTGTGAGAGAAGTTGGACGGAAAGGGGACAGGGATTTGTTTCCAGAGAGAGGGGGAGAGGGTTGTGTGGTATATATACCACACAACCCGGCCCTCCGGATTGTCCTCTGCCTGTACCGCATTTCGACACGGGAGTGATCTCCGGCCAAAGTTGACTCAAGATCTCCGTCATAGGCCTTGACGAGAAGAACAAGATACAAATGGCGACGACGACAATGAAGGCCGTCGTGATTCACGAGGCCGGTGGACCCGAAGTCCTCAAGGTCGAACAGCTTCCAATCCCGACGCCCAAGCAGGACGAGATTCTCATCCACATCAAAGCCTTTGGCCTCAATCGCTCCGAGCTCTTCACTCGCCGCGGACACAGTCCCGGCGTCAAATTCCCCCGCGTGTTGGGCATAGAGGCCGCTGGCATCGTGGAAAAGTGTCCCAGCGGCACCTTTAAGACTGGCCAAAAGGTTGCCACTGCCATGGGAGGTATGGGTCGAGACTTCGACGGCGGCTATGCCCAGTATACCAGCGTCAAGGTGGACAACACGCAGGCCTTGGACACCGACTTGGACTGGACCATCGTCGGTGCTGTCCCAGAGATGTTGCAGACGAGTTACGGGTGTCTATTCAAAGCACTCAAATTGAGGAGCGAGGACCGTCTGCTCATTCGAGGGGGGACGACTTCTGTCGGGTTGGCGGCTGCGGCCATTGCGAAGAACCATGGTTGCTTTGTTGCCGGAACAACAAGACATGCCGGTAAAGCGACTGCCGAGTTGATGCAAAAGAGTGGAATTGATCGCATCATTATCGACGATGGACACGTTGCTCAGCAGGTTCAGGACAACAAATTCGACAAAGTCCTGGAGTTGGTGGGGACCACCACTCTGAGAGATTCCTTGCGGTGTGCTGTCAAGGGAGGAATCGTGTGTATGGCTGGCATCGTTGGTAAGCCAAGAGTGTTTGCTATCTCGTTCGGATTGGCCTAACAAGCATTTTGTAGGAAACAGTTGGACCATGGAAAACGTCTCCCCAATGGAGCTCATACCTCATACTGTCTGCTTGACTGTTTATTCCGGGGGCCCAGATGAATTCAGAGAAACCCCCCTGAACGATTTGCTCAAGCAGATCGAGGCGGGCACCTTGCCTGTCCAGATTGGAAGGGTGTTCAAGTTGGACCAGATTGTTGAGGCGCACGATACCATGGAGAAGAACCTCGCGCGTGGCAAGATTGTGGTCTTGACAGAATGAAGATCCACAAGAAAGTGTAGAGAACGGAACTGCCTTGTGATCCGTTAATCCAAGTGCATCGAGCAACGATGCTAGGGAGGGAGCGCGAAATGACATGCATGATGAACTGCTCTTTTGCATTCCTCCCTTAAATGTCTGAGTAAACAAATACCAACATCTGCCACCTTCGGCCAGAATCACCATTGTAAACTTTTTGTTGTATAGATCAGCTGCTTTGATTTGTGGCCAGGACTGCCCTGCGGCGTAGCTTCTCGCGCTTCTTTGCGCCGCTCATCGGCTTACGAGGACGCGCGGCCCTCTTCGGCTGAGGCTTTCCCATATTCCACATTTGCCATACATCGAGACAGGTTCGTTGTCCAACGAACTTGCCATTGGGAGTAAAGACCTCGACTTCAGGAAACCTTGGAGAGAGCCCCGAGTCTTCACCAGTCTGAATGGAGGAGAATGGAGTAAACGTACTCGTATCAATCGACAGGCCTTCAGCGCTAGGAACATCCGATCCGGTGGAATCTGGTCCCGTAGAATCTTCAGCAAGTGGCCCAGGCTGATGTAAACGTCTGCTTTTTCTGACCTGACAGACCAGCTCCACCCATCCGACCCCTTCGATGAGTATGTCTGTTGCGTAGACACGAAATGGCAACTTCTCGATGTTGACTCCAGCTCTGATCATGGAGCCTGCTCTGGATTTTGTGACATCGGTTTGCAATTTGAATTGACCCGCAGAAGCCATGCAGTTCCCTGCGCCTTCAGCTAAGATTGACTCTACACCGCTTTCACGTTCTTGCATTTGCGTGCTACATGCCTTCTCCGTGGATGTGACATGAGTTTTGAGCGGAACAAAGGGGTACGCCAGCATGGTGGTACTCGGGTCAGCTTCGTCGAGGAGCGGTGTGATCCGGACCAATCCCCCTCCTAGGAGCAGAGATTGACCGGGCTTGATAATGTGTTGGACGACCGTCGGCCGATGTACCATGACCAGGTCGGTCCGATCTTCGGGCTTGACATACTGGTCGAGGCCTCCACGTTCTAGGCCCGGCATATCAATCAGCTCTCCTTTGTGGTTGCCGAAGGGAAGTCGAATCGGAGATGCTGTCGTCCCCGGCAGACTTGACACCAAAGGCATGGATGGAAAAGGAACTTCTGGCTGAGGGGGAGGTAGTAAGTTTTTCTCGGAGAAAAAGGTGGTATCGGTAGATTTATGCTCTGCGGTAACCTCCTGCTGTCGCTGAATCTCTGCATATACAGGCGCTCTGCCGGCGGATCCCTTGGGGAAAAGGACCTCAAACAGATTCGACTTTCCCACATTGAACTTTCCAACAAGCCAGTTGCCGCCTCCCCTGCGCCAAATGCTTTCTTTGATATCCTTGGTCCACCATCCTCGCTTCGACGAGACCAGATGCACGTTGCCCAGCCGGAGCTTTTGTCCCATGCGACCCAAGGCAGTCCTCAGAATAGCGATGAATTTGGGCATCATGCCATCTACCATCTCTTTGGTTGGAGCCAGGAGATCGGATCTCGTGATGATGAAAGATACAGAGGGTCGGGTTGAAAACGAATGCTGAGACCTACGATTCTGCGTTCGAGCTTTGCCAAGGAGAGGCTCTTATAGACTGAAGGGATGACAGACATGGGGAAATCTGCTGCATCAAGGACGTGATAGACATGGTTCCTGGAGAAAGGAGACTCAGCGATCGAGTCCGCGATGGCTTCAACCGAAGGATGCGCAATAGGGACACCGCGGGAGTCATGGATCAAATAATGACATCTATCGCAGATAGGAGGTGTTCTCTGGGGCTGAGGCTGGACTATGCCGTGCTCGTCTTGTAGATTTTCATCATGTTGGGAGGTTTGGACATGTGCCACATCTGTGCCTACGTCTCCTTCATTCTGGACCCGACTCGAGCTCTCGAGGTTGTTGAGATATTTCACCACCGCTTTTCTTGACAATGTGTAGAAACCTGCTTGTCCAGAGTCGACATCTTGCGTGAGCGCGCCGCAACCAGGACAGGACACTGGTAGGCGTGCGGGACTCAAATTCTCTTGTTCAACCCGTGGGCCCCGTGATATGGACGATTGCTTCGGAGGCGGTAGCAAAACATTTGTCGACAGCACAGGACGAGAAAGGAGCTCTGGACGAAGTCGCTCGAGCTCAGCAGTGGCAAAGGAGAGAGGACGACGGCTGGAGGAAAAGTAACGGCCGCGGAGTTGGGGGGTGCGCGATTTCACGGCTGGTGAACATGATGAACGCCAACACCGAGGGACCAATTCCATTTGAGAGAGTCAGCTCATACCCGTCGAAAGCGTCGTAGCTAGGCGTGCTGCGTGCTGAGAGAAGTCGATGTGACAAATATCGGAGCTATCGTGTGTACGGGGTAGGTGTGTTTTTCGTGTGAGAATATGCGCCAGGGGGTTGACGAGCAAGAATTGTCAGGGATGTGGCTCTGTAAATTTACCGCATGGAGGAATTATCTCATCGATACGGCAACTTTATCCTCCACTTTTCCCACTTTTGCCTCATTGCCTTCTAAACCTTTCAGACTTTCGGGGCTTATACCTCTTGGTTCATCGACCGACTTTTCCCTGAGTTGCATCTTATGCCTGCTCAGCTTCCAAAGGAGCAGTTACCAACGACCTCTTGTGGATGTGGTGGCCTGTCTGCTTCAACATGACTCAGCCTACATAGCATGCCTGCCTATCATATCACTCCAAAGACGAGGACTATGTCGATCACCAACCTCTCGAGGCCCTCCTTGGACTTGCTACCTGTCCCTGGTCTACCGTTTTCTTTCCCGAGAAGGCTGAGGACGATGGTCACGATGGGACATGGTCAAGTCCTTGCCAGAGGGTTGACGAATCATTCCGAGATGACCAGGCTATTGGCTTGACGGATCAGTGATCTGTCATACTTAGCGGATATCGCCCTTGTCCAGTGTGCCAGGTATGGCAAAAGGTGAGTACTTTTGACAAGCCTTGCTCTGAAGAGGTTGTAGGGCACCCCTTTGCCCAGGAAATACTGCAGTCAGCTCCCAAGAAGCCAGTCTCTTACGGGCGACACGACTTGCCAGGTCTGCCTATATAACGTCGTTCGGGACGCTCAATGGCGAAACGATTCTCCTCTTGAACAAGGAATCTCGTGAGAGAGCAACAATCTGTCCCTTGTATACTGACTATCACACTTCCCAAGACAATCGCATACGTCTCTTCTGTCAAAATGAGCCCCTCAACGCCAGACAGGTTCGACTTCATCGTCGTCGGCGCCGGTGCAGCAGGGGCGATCCTCGCAGCTCGTCTGGCAAACAGCAAGCATCGTCCTTCGGTCCTTCTCATCGAGGCCGGCGGGAAAAACGACTCCAAGGACGTTCGAGCGGACGCAGAAAGGTGGCTTCATCGAATGATCCCTTCGCAGAATTGGGGTTACAAGACTGCACCCATCAAAGGCTTCGATGGGAACATCATTGATTACGATCGTGGCAAAGGGCTTGGGGGAAGCACCGCCATCAATTTCTCCGTCTGGACCGTCGGTCCAAAGGATGACTATGATCAGATCGCAAATCTCGTGGGCGACGACGAATGGAGCTGGAACAATGCTCAGAAAAGATACAAGCGGCTCGAATCTTTTCACGCGACTGCTCCGAATGTACCAGGTGATGCCAAGCGGTATCTTAACCCTGACCCAAAGGACCATGGGCACGACGGGCCTATCAAGGTCGGCTTTCCACAGGTTTGGGAGCCTTCGTGCACGGCACTGATGGACATCTGGTATGCCAACGGTACAAAGCCCAACCCCGACCATAATTCCGGAGACCCAATCGGTCTTGCCGCCTGCGTTTCTAGTGCATACAAAGGGATCAGATCGACATCCGCAGACGCGTTGGTGGGGGCACCCAGCAACCTACACGTCTTGGTTGACGCTGAGGTGGCTCAAGTGACTTTCGATGGCACAAAGGCGACCGCGATTAAGACGACTGGAGGGAAGGTTTTCCAAGCCGACAAAGAAGTCATTTTATCGTGTGGTGCCCTCGATACACCAAGAATTCTGATGCATTCTGGCATTGGCCCCGTGGACGAGCTCAGCAGCTTCAATATCCCCATTTTGAAAGCCAATGAAAACGTCGGGAGGCACCTCAAGGATCACCACCACATCATGATCCCATCCCTCCGAGCAGACCACACGAGTGAGAGGACCCGCTTTTACAAAAACAAGGAACTTCAAGCAGCTGCCCGAGCCGCTTGGGAGAAAGACGGTACTGGGCCCTTGGCGGAATATGGCTGCGCTCTGGGTATTGCATACCTGAAGCTGGATAAATTGTATGACAGCGCCGAGTTCCAAGCTCTACCAAAGGAAGAACAAGAAAAACTGCGGAAGCCGACAGTTCCTCACTACGAGTTCCTCCTCAATGCTGCATGGCTTCCCAATTTCATCGACCCAGAAAACGCACAGGCCGGAACAACCGTGTTCGTGTTCATCCTCAATCAGATGTCGACGGGCGCCGTGAGACTCCAGTCGTCTGATCCCACCAAACCACTTATCTTCGATCCCAACTTCTTCTCCCACCCATTTGACAGACGGGTGGCCGTGGAGGCTACACGAGATGTTCTGAGGGTCCTGAAGAGCCCCGAGTTCCAAAAAGACACCCTGGCTATCGACGGCCCCAAGAGTGAGTCTGAGGATGATATCCTGGCCTTCTGGCGTGCGGGCAGCGCTTCGACATGGCACATGATGGGGACTGCTCGGATGGGCAAGGATGAAGACAAGGCCGTTGTGGACAACCACTTCAAGGTTTTTGGAGTGGAGAATCTCAGAGTGGCTGATATGAGTGTCATCCCCATTGTTTCCAAGTAAGTCATGCGACTGAAGGTCGACATATCTGAGACATTTAGGCTAACAAGGCTCTACAGCAACCACACTCAATCAACGGCGTATCTCGTGGGGCTGACAGCAGCGGACAAGCTAGTTGAAGAATATGGACTTGACGGGTAATCGGCCCAAGCGTCAACACGGCTGATGGGGTCTCCATGTTGCTTTGAAAGATGTTAGCGAGCGGCAATTCGGTGACTAGAATGGTAGTCTTTTTTCTTCTCGATTTTGAGACAGAGACCCGTACTCGTATGATCTAGCACAGCCCAAACAAACTACAGTATCAGCCAGGTACTTGTTTATGCGCCCGTACTTCCCCGTGTCTACCGAGTAACATGATATGAGAGCAACAATAACTTGGGAAAACACCTAGTGGCGAGAGTTCAATAGGTATTCGGTACTTTGTACGGAAGTACCTACCAGTACACACGGTGCCGAAAATAGAACGCCCGTACTTGTACCGAGTACGGAGGATGAGACTATCCCCCATGGCCTAATAAGTTTTGAGTGCCTATTAGTTCGAAAGGGTTCGCTTGTAAGGCTCCGTAATTCCCCCCTGTGAGTACCGAGTAAGTTCCACGGGCACTCCCCCCAAGTATAACAAACATATCGACGCTGAGGGTGTGATGTCAACGTCCCCCCCACTGGGGCTCTTAGTCTGTTCTCTTAGTGGGTAGAGCCTATAGGTGCGCCCCCAATCAAGCAATTTAGCCCCTGACCCTCGCGCGCCGATGACCCGAGGCTTGCCCCTGGTGCCCTGTCAAGTCCTGGGGCTTCCCTAATTCTGCCTGTTGACTCCCTCTGACGCCCTGCATCTTGTTTCTCAGTGGCCTTGGCAAATTCCCCTCGCAAAACAGTCCTCGATCAATGCCACCACCACCACCACCAGAACCACTTTTTTCCCTCTAGAAGCAGTCGGATGGCGATGAGGTCTACTACTCTCGTCTCGCCTCCCTCCGCCCAAAGTAACCCCTCGTGAACGACGCCGATCGTGCCTGCCTTGCGCCCCCAGCATTATTGTTGGCGTCTGTGACGGGACAATATGCTGGAGCTCCTTCTCCTTCACTTCGACTATCCGTGCTGCGACACCCTCCCAGGAGATTGATTGTTGGATTACTCTGGCGTGTCCGCCTTGGGACTTGCTTTCTAAGCGAATGAATATCGTGACCAAGGCACCAGACTATACCTATACACCATACACTACGCAAACACCACTTGCGCTGCCACCTAAGCCCTTAGCACTTTCTGAGACATCGAAGCGTCGTCGGTGGACTGGCTTCACTGGCCCACTCTTTATGAATACCTCGCTCGCCTCGCCCCATCACCAGGATCTGAGGCTCTGTCGCAATTCTACATGACGACAATGGCGTCGCTGCCATCATCTGCGTCCCACGACCACCATCCCAGCCGGCCTCGACCTCACAATGTCCAGCTAACTCGGAGTACAAGCCATGATCAACCCAAGGGCACCGACCTCAATCGACCCCTACCACCGCCCCCAGTCAGTGCTGCGGCCGAGACATTCGAGATTCCTACCCTACGTCGAAAACCCCTCCCCGAATCACCAGATTCTAGCTCCGCGAAGCTCAACCACAGTCGGTCCTTCAGTCACCCCTTTCCCTCCATCT